ATTTGAAAAAATTCTTCCCTACTCACAATGAATAAAGAAAAAGCAAGTTTAATTACAACATTGGTATCACAGTAGTGAAATACCTAATCGCAAAAATACAATAAAATATATTGCTACAATATGATCATTTCCCTTTCTGTTTGGTTGATAAGTGATTTTGTGTTTGTGTACAGCTATGAACCCCTTTTATTTTAAGGCCCTTTTCACATGAGCGGACTGATTGGGTATGCCTGTCAGTTTTTCGGGTAGACCTGATTGGACCATCCACTGTCCTCTATGGAACGGCGGATTTAGACTGTGTCCGTTTATACCCATCTGCATCCTATCTGCTAAAAACAGATGGATGGAAGATCCGTTCCCCTCTGTCTGGGCAGATCGGATGACAGTCTGATGTAAACGGACAGACTGCCCAAAAAGGAAAGAAGGCTGTGTCTGTGTTTGCTCTTCATAAGCGCAGCAGACATGGACCTGTTATGTGCCTGCTCAGCGGGGATCAGCGGACAGATACCCCACTGAACAGGCGGTTCTACTGGCGGGGTCCACTTGTGTGAAACTGGCCTTAGGCAAACCTGTGCTTTGTCCATTCAGTGCAAAACAACAGATTTGTTTAATTCCCGATGATCCCTAGGGTATAGTTAGCCTTCCTTAAGGGCACCTTTAAGCACTGGTAGCTAAAGGAAATACCCAGAACAGTGACCACAGCATTTTTGGTAAATTGTAGCTTACATAGGTGTGACAAACTGCCTGACACCTCGACTGGGTATTTCTGCCAAACTACGACTTCCTCCACTCTGAAACTAGAATATAGCAAATTTATGCCAAGCATCAGATAGAACCAATGTTTGAGTAAAACAAGGAATGACTTTTTATTAACAAACAGCACAACATTTATATACAAAAAATACCCCTAGGCAGGTATGGTCCATATTTACCAGTCTCAGGAGAAAATTACATTACATAAACAAATAAACAATCAAACACAAGAAAACAATGGATTCCTTCCTGGTACCTAGCACTCTGGACTCTGGAGGTGATTAAATAAAGTGAGAGCTTAACTAGACCTAATACCCAAAAGTTTATGCCAGGAAACCTGTAACAGAAAATAGAAAATTCTTAACCCCACATATGCTGGAATTCACCCCCATGCACATAACACATCACTCCAGGATAATAGTTCCGCTATGCACAGTATGCCAAGGGGTAACAGTCCCTTCAGCCCTAATTGCATGGAAAGAGTAGCTGGTATAATTCATGACCAGCCAGGTACCCAGGGAAGCGATATAATCCTATTGGGGAAAAGGTTCTTTGTAACCCCAAGATGGGGGTCTCCTTAGTCCTGGGTCCATAATCGGTGGCAAGGAGGCTGGCCCCCAGGCACCTCCAGGAGCCCAAGTCACAGTGGTTTCCATGAAAATATGTTTTATCCTTACTCCCAGCAGCTGATGATGATAAGAATGCAAATGAAACATAAATAGAAACATAGAAAAGCGATGGCAGAAAAAGACAGAGTGGTCCATGGAGCCTGCCCCTTTTTTTGCTTTGCTTTTGTTTGGTTTGTTTGTTTTTTGTTGTGGTTTTCTTTGTTAACTTTTTTTGTCTTAGTATAGATCTATGCTTGTCCCAAGCATGTTTGAGACTATTTACTGTTGACTGGCTCACTACCTCTGCTGAAAGTTTATTCCAAGCATCAACTACTCTTTCTGTAAAATAGTACTTTCTGAGATTAGTTTTGAACTTTTCTCCATTTAAGGTCATGTCTCCGTGTTCTTGATTTTGGTTTCATGTTGAAAATACTGCGCTCCTGAACCTTATTCACCTCCTAGATGTTAAAGTTTTAGTCATGTCTCCCCTTTCCCTTTTTTCCTCCAGACTGTACCAGTTAAGTTCCTGAAGTCACTCTTGATATGTTTTATCCTCCAGACCTTTCACCATTTTTGTTACCCATCTCTGGACTCATTCTATCTTATCAATATCTTTTTGTAAGTGAGGTCTCCAGAACTGGACACCGTATTCTAAATGAGGTCTACTTAAAGATCAATATAGAGGAATCAGGACCTCCTTCCTCCTGCTGGTGACCCCAGTGATACATCCTAGAATTATATTTGCTTTCCCCACTGCCTGGCCACTCTGTTTACTCATTTCTCAATCATCTGAAATAAGTACCCCCAAGTCCTTTTCCTCTGAAGTGCTGGCCAGTAATGCACCCCAATGTATTGCACATATTATGCAACCACCAACCTCCATTTCATATTCCCTGACATTTTTAAGTGATCCATAGACAGAGAAATAGTGCTTTTTAGTGTGCCTTCAAGCAGCGAATATCCCTGTGGATATCAGTTAGACCAGCCTGACATTGGTGCACAATCTACTCCCCCATTCAGGGCTTAGCCACAATTCTCTGAGACGAGTGAAGTTCTGTGTGCGTTTTAGTTGTCCATGATAATGCAAAGAGCAGGGTATGAAGTAATCCATAGCAACATAAAGAATGAGGTCGCTTGCACCAAAAGTGCACTCATTATTTTTGTCCTTCACCTCCTAACATACTGCGTGAACTTACCTCCATCCCAAAGCCACCACACTATTTAAATAAAACTTCACCACAATGTCCCATAAAACTTTTTTGCTAGTCCCATAGAGTGTTTCCTTGTACCTTTGGATAGCTGTGACCACCATAAGTATGGACCAGCCATAAGAACAAATGGAGTATGTATGCAAAAAATGAGCAAGCCATGGCCAGGACTTTTTTGTTAAAGACAGCAAGTGTGTAAGTGTGTGAGAAGGTGGTTAGTGCAAACGTAATTAGGTGATTATTACTTGATGTTATGTGTAGATTTAAGATTCTTACCAATCAGTAAAAAGATGAATCGACTGAGACACAAAGTATTAGGGCAAGCATTTATTTAAATAGCTGCATAAGTAAATATAATTGTAGCTACAGTTGAATATTCTTGAGAAGTCAAAAAGCTTGTTTGACTATTTTGGCATTTAGCATGGATGACGTCAGGCAGACACTTACCTCTACAGTAAACCTGTCATGAGGCTAAACAGAAGATTTGGGCATTGCCCCTATTATAAACCCTAAAAGGAAACAAGTACCATCCATTCTTAAGCAATCACAATTGATAAAATCTAAATTCTTAACCAATTACAGTGTACAACTAATAAAAACAAGGTAATAATGTCATGATTACTACATGGCATGGTATAATCTACAAGTGTGCACTCAAACATGTTTAATTGGTTTATTTGGAAAACAAATATGGTTTTTAGAACCATTCTCCCTTCACTTGGTCATCCCTGACTATGGACAGTGATAATGTTTAACACAAGCTGTGGGTGGGTGGCAAGTAGCTCAGTGGTTTGCTACAGTCACTGAATGGGAGGATTCTATTAGCTATAAATCAGTGGCTGCCATGGTCTTTAAGGGGTGCCATGGGCTGTATTACAAAGTAACCTTATTTTTTATTTGTTTACAGTTTGGGAATATAATATTTTGTTTTTTTGTATATTGGTATATATACAGTGCATTCATATAGTATTTAGACCCCCTTCACTTTTTTCCATTTTGTTATGTTGCAGCCTGATACTACAGTTGTTTGAATTCATTAATCTACACTCAGCACCCCATAATGACAAAGTGAAAACAGAATTTTAGAAACGTCTGTGAATTTATTACAAAGAAAAAAAAAATGAAATATCACGTGCTTAAGTATTCAGACCCTTTACTCATTACTTTGTTAAACCACCTTTGGCAGCAATTACAGCCCTTTTTGGGTATGGCACGACTAGATTTGCACACCAGATTGGGGGATTTTCTGTCATTTTTCCTTGCAAATTCTCTCAAGCTCAGTCAGGTTGGATGGGACTGTCGGTGGACAGCCATTTTCAGGTCTTTCCAGAGATGTTCAATAGGATTCAAGTCAGGACTCAGACAGTTTGGACCACTCTTCACAGAGTTGTCACTAAGCAACTCCTGTGTTGGCTTGCCCATGTGCTTAGGATTGTTGTCAAGTTGGAAAGTGAACCTTTGGCCCAGTCTGAGGTCCTGAGTGCTGTGAAACAGGTTTTCATTGAGGATATGCTACATTCAGCTTTTCCCTATACCCTGAGCAATCTCCCAGTCCCTGCTGCTGAAAAAACACCACCACAGCATGATGCTGCCACCACCATGCTTTACTGTTGGGATAGTATTCGGCAGGTGATGAGCAATGCCTGGCTTTCTCCAGACATAACATTTAGAATTAAGGCAAGATAGTTCAATCTTGGTTTCACCAGACCAGAGAATCCTATTCCTCAGTCTGAGAGTTCTTCAGGCTTTTTTTTTGCCAACACCAAGTGGGCTTTCATGTGTTTTGCACTGAGGAGAAGCTTCCGTCTAGCCACTCTGCCATAAAGCCCAGATTGGTGAAGGGCTACAGTGATGGTTTTCCTTCTGGAACATTGCCCCATCTCCACACAGAATCTCTGGAGATCAGTCAAAGTGACCATTGGGTTCTTGGTCACCTCTCTTACTAAGGCCCTTCTCCCCCGATTGCTCAGTTTGGCTGGGCGACCAGCTCTTGGTAGAGTCCTGTTTGCACCAAACTTCTTCCATTTGAGAATGATAGAGGTCACTGCGCTTCTGGGAACCTTCAGTGCAACATATTTTTTTTTGTAGCCTTCTCCAGATCTGTGTCTTGCAATAATCCTGTCTCTGATCTCTGCAGGCAGTTGTCAGTTGTTAGGCCTTTAATAGAGAGGTGTTTGCCTTTCCAAATCATGTCCAATCAATTTAATTTACCACAGGTGGACTCTGATCAAGGTGTGGAAACATCTCAGAAATGATCATGGGAGGCATCTGAGCTAAATTCCAAGTGTTGTTGCAAAGGGCCTGAATACTCATAGCATTGTGATATTTAAGTTTCTAATTTTTTCATAAATTTGCAAACATTTCTAAAATGTTGTTATCACTTTTTCATTACGGGGTACTGAGAGTAGATTAATCAGAAAAAAAAGATTATTGAAAAAACAACAACACAGGGCTCTGTACACAGAGTAGTGATATGGCTGTGTTTTCTCCCTGCAAAGCAAAGCAGGGAGAAAACAGAGGCACATCTATTAGTAAAAACAGCACACATTACACATTGTTAGGCACACAGTTAACCATTTGATTTCCCTTAGATAGTAACTCTTTCCCAGCCAGTGTCATTAGTATAGCGCCGGTGTATAGTGTTATCATTAAACACTATATTAGTGTCACTGGAGATGTCAATGGCAGTTACTCAGTTCCCACCCAGTGTCAGGTAGCCCGCCTCCCTATCCAGTACAGATACCATAGTTTGTAGACGCTATAACCTTCATGTAAACCAATCAATATACACTTATTGGGATTTTTTTTACCAAACACATGTAGCAGAATACATTTTACCTTAAATTTATGAAGGATTTTTTTTTTATTTTTTTTTGGATATGTTTTATAGCAGAAAGTAAAAACTATTGTTTATTTTAAATTAAATTTTTTGTTTTATTTCCATTTTATGTAATAAAAAATAAAAATCCCAGTGGTGATTAAATACCACCAAAGAAAGCTCTTTTTGTGTGAAAAAAAATTATACATTTCATTTGGGTACAGTGTTTCATGACCACGCAATTGCTAGTTAAAGTAGCACAATGCTGAAAAGCAAAAAAAAATGCTCTAGTCATGAAGGGAGTAAAATCTTCCAGAGCTTAAAGTGATACTAAAGTTTTTTTTTTTTTTTATATAAAAATAACAAGCATGGCATACCTACCTGCTCTGTTCAGTAATTTTTCACACAGCATCCTCTTTTTTTCAGGTCCCCCACCAGCACTCTGGGTCCTCCCCCCTCGGTCAGTGCCCCCAGGGAAAGCTGCTTGCCCTGGGGGCACAGCTATGTGCTCGCTCCCAAGCTGCTGCTCTATGTGTCCATAAGACACACAGAGCAGCGGCTTGGTCCCGCCCACCCGCTCTCTCCCCATTGTCTCACTGGCTGTGATTGATAGCAGTGGGAGCCAATTATTATAATACAGGATTTATATAGCGCCAACAGTTTACGCAGCGCTTTACAATATATAGGGGGACAGTACAATTACAATACAGTTCAATAAAGAATGAATAGGGGGGCCAATGGGCTCCTGTTGCTGTTTCAGCCAATGAGGAGGGAGACTCCCCATAGAACCGAGACTATTGTAAACATCACTGGATTGGAGAGGGCTCAGGTAAGGATTGGGGGGGGGGGGGGGCGGCTGCACACAGAGGATTTTTTACCTTCATGCATGGAATACATGATGGTAAAAAACCTTTAGCCTTTAGAACCACTTTAAATGTTTAACCACTTCAAGTCAGCACACTTTAACCCTGACCTGTCCAGGCCAATTTTCAGGCTATCTGTATCCTATCACACTTTGAATGACAATTGCGCAGTCATGCAACACTGTACCCATATGAATTTTTTCGCATTTTTTTGAGACAGATAAAACTTTATTTTGGTGGTATTTATTCACCACTGGGATTTTTATTTTTTTGCTATATAAATGAAAAAATCCAAAAATTTTTAAAAAACATATTTTTCTTATATTAATAAATAATCTTTCTTCATAAATCTTGGCCAACATTTATTCAGTTATCTTTTTAGTAAAAAGATAATAACCCAAATTAGTTTATAACCAAAAATTAAAATTTTTCAAAATTTTTTTTTTACATTTTTTTTTTTTATATTATTATTTATGTTTTTTTTTTAACATACTGTCACCCTAGCAGTACAGTGTCACCATAGTGACACTGTACTACTTGAGGGGGATGATGCTACAGGGCGACAGGACTGCGCAAAATCATGTATATATACGTGATTTGCATTCCCGGGTAGGGGGCATGCGCCGCCCTACCAGCACTGCCATTGGTGGCTAGAGATGTAAATCACCGGGTCCTGGCCAGCAATTCCCCGCCGGTACCCACCGATCATTGGGGAGAGCTGACAGGGGAGAGACCTGTATGTAAACAACCTGTCAGCATGGACATGCTGCTTTGTATTTCTCTGCACAGTATGTCTCCCTAGTAAAAAAAAGCACACAGCACACAATTAACCCTTTGATCGCCCCAGATGTTAACCCCTTCCTGCCCAGTGTCATTAGTACAGTGTCAGTGCTTTTTATTAGCACTGATCACTGTATTAGTGTCATTGAGATGTCAGTGGCAGTTAGTCAGTTCCCCCCCAGTGTCAGAATGCCCGCTGCAGTCCCGCAGTCCCACTATAAATCGCTGATCTCCGCCATTACTATTATTAAAAAAAATTTAAGTATCTATACCGCCATTAGTAAACGCTATAACTAGATGAGCGAAGTATTCAAAAATTCGATTCGACTGATTCGGCGAATTCGTGGAAAAATTTCGATTCGAGTCGAATATATTCGCTGCGAATTTAACTTATAAAAGGGTGTTTCTAGGCTTCAGAGAGACTTTATATTAGTGCAGAACACTGTACCTTTAATTTAAATGCCCTTGGAGTCTGCTGGGGAAGAGAAATAATACTATCAGTCAGTATGACATGCAGATGAGTGCCGTCGATCTTAGAATCACCACACACTTCACTCATTTGGGCAGTCACGGGGCCAAAACCAGAGTGTGGAGCCACAGTGTGGCGGTGGAGGCAGCAGCAATGGGAGGCCATACAGCACCCTATGACAAAAATGGAAACCACCAGCAGTGTGAGGAGACCTGAAAGTGGCACATGGCAGAGTGTGGCGATGGAGACAGCAGCAATGGGAGGCCGTACAGGGACCCATGACACACTCTGGACCTGGCAGCAGCATGAGGAGGCGGTACAGGGGCCCATGACAGATTACGGGCCTGGCAGCAGCATGAGGAGTTGGTACGGGGGCCCATGGCAGATTACGGGCCTGGCAGCAGCAATGGGAGGCCGTACAGGGACCCATGACACACTCTGGACCTGGCAGCAGCATGAGGAGGCGGTACAGGGGCGCATGACAGATTACGAGCCTGGCAGCAGCAACTTGGACAGGAGGACGTTCAGCTTCTGCACCGTCGGGTGCGTGCTCGCAAACTGTTGTCTCTTGGAAACGGATTCCAAGAAAGACTGCTGACGGAATCCGTGAAGAGGAGTAGCAGGAGAAGGAGCATCTGAACGAGCGGAATATGCCAACAAGCGACAACAGGGGCCCATGACAGCTTACGGGCCTGGCAGCAGCATGAGGAGTCGGTACGGGGGCCCATGGCAGATTAGGGGCCTGGCAGCAGCTATGGGAGGCCCGTAATCTGCCAGCACCCTATGACAAAAAATGGAACCCACCAGCAGTGTGAGGAGACCTGAAAGTGGCACATGGCAGAGTGTGGCGATGGAGACAGCAGCAATGGGAGGCCGTACAGGGACCCATGACAGACTCTGGACTTGGCAGCAGCATGAGGAGGCGGTATAGGGGCCCATGGCAGATTAGGGGCCTGGCAGCAGCTATGGGAGGCCCGTAATCTGCCAGCACCCTATGACAAAAAATGGAACACACCAGCAGTGTGAGGAGACCTGAAAGTGGCACATGTTTGGGGCATGATTCATGGCGGATTTAGTCAGTTGTGTCAGGAACTGGTGGTTTGAAATCCAGACTAATCCACGCCTGATTCATTTTCACAAACGTGAGTCTCTCCACACTTTGGGTGGACAGTCGTGTCCTCCGCGGAGTTGCAATACCTCCTGCCGCACTAAACACGCGCTCCGATGCCACGCTACTGGCCGGGCATGACAGCCTTTCAAGGGCAAATTCAGCTAGTTGGGGCCAAAGGTCAAGTTTCGTTGCCCAGTAGTCAAGGGGATTGTCTACCTCGGTTGGCAGGGTGCTGTCCAAGTAGGCCTAAGCCTGTTGTTTGAGGTCCTGCTCCAGGTCCACCTGATGCTGCTGCTGCTGCGGCTGGTTAGTAGTTTCCTCACTGCGCTGGTGAAGAAAGCTACTCATCATCGACTGCAGACTGAGGCAGCTGCTGCTGGTGGAGCTGCCACTGCTCCTACCACCCCACCCCTCCCATGCTGCCATGGCAGCGGAACGCGAGCGCACAGGGCCCACAGTGTCTGAGGATGGACGTTGGCGCAGACAGGCAGAGACCAGCTGACTACATAGGTGGTTTTTATTGTACGTTATTTTGGCCTCCCTCTCAGCAGGTGTGAAAAAGGCCACCATTTTTGAACGGTAGCGAGGGTCCAACAAGGTGGACAGCCAAAAGTCATCCCTCTGTCTGATGGTTATTATTCGGCTGTCGGTACGCAAGCAAGCGAGCATGCTATGGGCCATTTGTGCCAAGGAATGCGAGGGACTCCCTGCCTCCATCTCCACAGCATACTGCCACGGTGCGTCTGGGTCCTCTGTCTCCTCTTCCTCCTCCTCTACCAGATGCTCCTGCTCCTCCACTCCTGTCCGCTGAGTGGAAAAACCACCCATTTCACTCAATAATTCCTGAGCACCAATGTCCTCCTCTACCTCCTCCTCTTCTTCCTGTCCTGCCCCCACAGGGGTCATGTGGCGTTGAGATCTGTGCGCCACGTCTACCTCACCCTGACCAGCCATTGTTAACAGCATTTGTTCCAGGACGTGCAACAGAGGAATGATGTCGTTCATCCCATAGTCCTGCCGACTCACGAATAGCGTGGCCTCCTCAAAGGGCCTGAGCAAGCGCAGGTGTCACGCATGAGCTGCCAATGGCTGACATCTAAGTTACACAGGGGAGTACCTTTATCCGCTTGTAACATCATGAAATCGGTGATGGCCTTTCGCTGTTCGTAAAGGCGGTCTAACATGTGTAGGGTTGAATTCCACCTTGTTGCAACGTCGCAGATCAGGATGCTGGGGCCCATGGAGATTCCGTTCTGCCGCCGCTGCAGCTCAAGGAGGGTGTGCTTTGCGGTGTAGGAATGGCTGAAATGCATGCAAGGTTTACGTGACATTTTAAGGATGTCTTGCAGTGGGATGGTGGATGGATTTTACAGGAACCGCTTGACAACCAGATTGAACACAGCATGAGAGCCATGCATGGCGCATGGCACAACTTCCTTGACGCAGAGCAGACACCATGTTCTTTCCGTTGTCGGTCAACATGGTTCCGATTTTCAGTTTGCGCGGAGACAGCCATCTGTCGATTTCTCTGTTCATTACACTGAGAAGTTCCTCCCCTGTGTGACTACGTTCGCCTGGACCTGGCAGCAGCATGAGGAGGCGCTATAGGGGCCCATGGCAGATTAGGGGCCTGGCAGCAGCTATGGGAGGCCCGTAATCTGCCAGCACCCTATGTCAAAAAAATTGAACACACAAGCAGTGTGTGAGGAGACCTGAAAGTGGCACATGGCAGAGTGTGGCGATGGAGACAGCAGCAATGGGAGGCCGTACAGGGACCCATGAGAGACTCTGGACTTCGCAGCAGCATGAGGAGGCGGTATAGGGGCCCATGGCAGATTAGGGGCCTGGCAGCAGCTATGGGAGGCCCGTAATCTGCCAGCACCCTATGACAAAAAATGCAACACACCAGCAGTGTGAGGAGACCTGAAAGTGGCACATGGCAGAGTGTGGCGATGGAGACAGCAGCAATGGGAGGCCGTACAGGGACCCATGAGACACTCTGGACCTGGCAGCAGCATGAGGAGGCGGTACAGGGGCCCATGGCAGATTAGGGGCCTGGCAGCAGCTATGGGAGCCCGTAATCTGCCAGCACCCTATGACAAAAAATAGAACACACCAGCAGTGTGAGGAGACCTGAAAGTGGCACATGGCAGAGTGTGGCGATGGAACAGCAGCAATGGGAGGCCGTACAGGGACCCATGAGAGACACTCTGGACCTGGCAGCAGCATGAGGAGGCGGTATAGGGGCCCATGGCAGATTAGGGGCCTGGCAGCAGCTATGGGAGGCCCGTAATCTGCCAGCACCCTATGTCAAAAAAATGGAACACACCAGCAGTGTGTGAGGAGACCTGAAAGTGGCACATGGCAGAGTGTGGTGATGGAGACAGCAGCAATGGGAGGCCGTACAGGGACCCATGAGAGACTCTGGACTTCGCAGCAGCATGAGGAGGCGGTATAGGGGCCCATGGCAGATTAGGGGCCTGGCAGCAGCTATGGGAGGCCCGTAATCTGCCAGCACCCTATGACAAAAAATGGAACACACCAGCAGTGTGTGTGGAGACCTGAAAGTGGCACCTGAAAGTGGCACATGGCATGAGACACTGTGGACCTGGCAGCAGCATGAGGAGGCGGTACAGGGGCCCATGGCAGATTAGGGGCCTGGCAGCAGCTATGGGAGGCCCGTAATCTGCCAGCACCCTATGACAAAAAATGGGAACACACCAGCAGTGTGAGGAGGAGACCTGAAAGTGGCACATGGCAGAGTGTGGCGATGGAGACAGCAGCAATGGGAGGCCGTACAGGGACCCATGAGACACTCTGGACCTGGCAGCAGCATGAGGAGGCGGTACAGGGGCCCATGGCAGATTAGGGGCTGGCAGCAGCAATGGGAGGCCCGTAATCTGCCAGCACCCTATGACAAAAAATGGAACACACCAGCAGTGTGTGAGGAGACCTGAAAGTGGCACATGGCATGAGACACTGTGGACCTAGCAGCAGCATGAGGAGGCGGTACAGGGGCCCATGGCAGATTAGGGGCCTGGCAGCAGCTATGGGAGGCCCATAATCTGCCAGCACCCTATGTCAAAAAAATTGAACACACCAGCAGTGTGAGGAGACCTGAAAGTGGCACATGGCATGAGACACTGTGTGGCGAGAGTGGGCACCTGGCAGCAGCATGAGGAGGCGGTACAGGGGCCCATGGCAGATTAGGGGCCTGGCAGCAGCTATGGGAGGCCCGTAATCTGCCAGCACCCTATGTCAAAAATGGAACACACCAGCAGTGTGTGTGGAGACCTGAAAGTGGCACATGGCAGAGTGTGGCGATGGAGACAGCAGCAATGGGGAGGCCGTACAGGGACCCATGAGAGACTCTGGACTTCGCAGCAGCATGAGGAGGCGGTATAGGGGCCCATGGCAGATTAGGGGCCTGGCAGCAGCTATGGGAGGCCCGTAATCTGCCAGCACCCTATGACAAAAAATGGAACACACCAGCAGTGTGAGGAGACCTGAAAGTGGCACATGGCAGAGTGTGGCGATGGAGACAGCAGCAATGGGAGGCCGTACAGGGACCCATGAGAGACTCTGGACTTCGCAGCAGCATGAGGAGGCGGTATAGGGGCCATGGCA